GCAGCACATACACAGATATTTCAGACTTAAGAAATGACATGACTTCATACTGACCAGCTTTAGGAAACGAAGGAGCAGGAGCGGTCAGTGTTCCAAGATTTCCAGCCCATGAGACAGAAATGGAAAGGCTGGAACTGAAGGCCTCTTCTGGGAAGGTTAGGAGGGGCACTTTGCATGGGATAGGGACACCAAATAGATGCCCTTTAGGAAGACAGAAATTTAAGAAAGGAGGATCAATGAGAAAAATCAAGTCTGGAGATGTGGCTTTGGGAGTAAGATCAAAAAAAATATATCCGGAAAAATGGATAAAGTCCAAGGAAGTTAGAAGATCTTACCATAAAGATTTTATTTTTAATGATACATTTAAATTTTAAAAAATTTGACGTTATTTATTTGAGAGCATACCTTATTTATTTCTTGCGTTAAAGCCTGAACTGAATATATGTTCAGACTTCCATTTTCCATAATAGATGCAATGTACCGTCCATGTGGGCTAATTACCGATGAGCTAATTCCTTCATCAAGGCTCCCGATTTCAAAGAGAAGTTTACAACTCTGTATATTGATAAATCTCATTATACCATCTTGACTTAGCACTCCAAGAACCTAAGAATAGAGAAAAAAATGAGTTCCTAAAAACACATTTAAAAATCAAATGTCTCGAACTACACACACAAGTATGTATGCATCTATATGTGTGTATTTATATATGTGTTTTTTTTTAAGGGGAGGACAGTCGGGGAGATTATATACACGAAGAGCTGTTATATATTTTGAAATCCCTAATTATGGCCCATGGAGGTGTGCCCTGCTCAGGTCTGGATAAACCTGGCTTTAACGAGAACGAGCAAGGAGCTCATCCTGGGGTACTATAGGAAGTCACCGAAGACTCTCCCTTTCCCACAGGCAGGCCAAACCTCTAGCAATCCCTACAAAGGGAATAGAGATGATCAGACAATTCTTAACTTTGACCTCCACAGCGGCTGTCAGAAGCAGGGTGGGTGGAGGGTCTGTATCCCTTCTGCATTCCCACGAGATGATCAGAATTAATATCCATCCCGCTGCCCCAACACGCCCGTGTCTCAGTGAGGCTCCCCACTGTCCATCCGCTTTTGGTGTTGTAACTAACATTTGCGGAGTGGAGAAAGTCTGTGAGGTGAAGGATAGTGAAAGGATAAGAGGAAAGCTAGTCTTTTAAGGCGAAAAAATAAATTTTAACTCATAATTTGCAAAAATTAAAAACATGTACTAAAAACAATTAAGCAAGTAAACTCCTCTGCTGCCTTGTCTATGCACAGGTTTTTTTTCCAGAGCCAGTGGCTGCTAAGCGCTGCCACCGTGTGATTGCTTGAAAAGCTAATGTCCCTTGTATGAAGGATGATCAGAATTAATATCCATGTGATTGCTTGAAAAGCTAATGTCCCTTGTATGAAAGACTGCAGTCTGGAGGTAGTGGGAGGCAGTTTGAATGTGACAATCAAAAAAGCACATTCTTCCGTTGATCAGGTTGTAGGAAACCCCCTCATCTACAGCTGACGCGACCCTCTCTGCAGGGCAATTTGGCAAGGTCTGTCAAAATTACAGATGCAGACAACACTGATAACCGCTGTTTCAATTCTGGGGTTTTATTCTACAGACAGGATGTGCACAGAGTTATTCAGTGCAGCATCATTTCCAAGAATGTCCAAGAATGAAGTTCTATAGTGATATCGAACTACCTACAGACAGAATGTGCACAGAGTTATTCAGTGCAGCATTATTTGTAATAGAAAAGGATAAAAACAGGTTAAGTGTCCAAGAATGAAGTTCTATAGTGATATCGAACTATCTTCAAGGTAAATTAAGTGAAAAAAGCAAGGCGCAAAGCTGTCTAAAAAGGTGGGAAAAACATAACAACAGTGGTTTGGAGAGCGAATAGCTGGGAAAATGGGGGAGAAGTAAGAGATTTTACTGTGTGCCTTTTATACTTTTTATTTTCAACCATGAGAATATGTTACCTACTGATAAAATACACACATATAGATATCATTCGTGAAAGTAAAAGATCCCATAGTCCATTTAAAATACAAAAGTTGGGGTCTGACTATATTCAACTATTAAAAATAAAAAGGTGTGTGGGGCGAGGGAGCGGGGAAGCACTTTGAAAGCTAAGATGAGATACAAAGAAAGCGTGTGTCACAGGATTAGGGGAACGGACCAGTTAGAGCAGACAAGACATAGTACAACAAAGTGAGAAAATTTTAGTTCTTGTCCACCTTTAATAATTACAATTAAAGGGGTGTTGAGAAGTCATATGATGTTTCTGTGCTTTAGTATCGTAATTCGTAGAATGTGCAAAGAATTTTTTAAGGATCAAAGAAAAAATAATATGCTCGAGCATCCTGTCAACCATGGAGTATGGCGCAAATTTAAAGTATACTGATTTTAGAAAAAGGGCACTTTGTCAGTAACATACAGTACCTAAAATTTAAAACCTTTTTCAATTTTAGCCTCTTCACAACAATGATATATGAACAATTTCAAATCCCTGTAACAATCAGGGTACCAGTTAAAGGAGAAAGCTATTATAGTACAGAAACTGACGTGACTCCTCAATGAGTAGAATGTCCTGCATTTACGGCACTAACCTGATTAGAACCAGCATCAAAACTATCGGGCAGAAATTCTAGATGGCGCACAGCTCGAACCTGAGTAGGCATCTGGATAATTCTGAAGAGCTGCTTGGCTTCCAAGCACCACAGATGAAGGTGATTTGATTTGCCCCCGGCGGCCAGGATTCGGCCATCTCTACGTAACAGAAAGGTGAGAAGTTAAGACCAGACGAATTGTTTATAGCAGCACTGTCCAAAAGAATCCAGTATGAAGATGGAAATGTCCCGTATCTACGCCGTCCAATACGGTCACTACTGGCTACATGTGACTGAGCACTTAAATAGGGCTAGTGCTTCCGAGGAAATTAATTCTTAATTTCATTTCATTTTTATTAAATGGTCCCATGCACCCAGTAACAACCACATAGGAAAGCTCAGGTTTACAGGATATATATTTTTTACCTATTGTGCTAAGAAACAAGCTTAACAGATATTTGTTTGATGACTTGCTTGGGGGTTTCTGAGTACATTTAGATTTTATAGTGTAATCTCAAATTCACCACTATCCAACTTCCTATATTTCACACATGATTATACTGAACTGGTACAGCACTGCTATATGAAAAACTAAAAAGTGCCAACTTTTTTCCTGCTCAAAGAAAGCTACTTTATGTTTGTAATGTACAAAAAAAATAAGCTGTATTGACTTGCAAGGTTGCTGTTCATTCCTTCACCAGACTTGTACAGTGTCCACTATAAGCCAGGTTTCATTCTAGGTTCCAAGGACACAGTGATGAACAAGACATATAAGATCCCTGCGCTTATGGGATTTTCAGTCTAAGGAAGGCAAACAAACAAATAAATGAACTTGATCTCAGCTGACAAATTCTATAAAGAGCTATAAAATGAGGTGGTGCAGAGCTGGGAAAGGAGGAAGGTCTGCTACCCGAATCAAGAGAACAGGCCAGGCATGCGACGCAGAGCAAGAATTCCAAGCTGGTCAGTATTCCAGACCGGGCGGGACAAAAGCACCGAGAAAGGAATAGGGTAGGTAAATTCTAAGGAGGAGTGAGAAGCCACATTCAAGATTGGCAGGAACAGTGTAAGGAGGAGGAGGAAATGAGAAGAGCAGAGAGAGAGGCCTGGGCCAGATGACAAAAGGCCTCGGGGGATATGGTGGGGACTTTGGATGACATTCAAAGGGCAGGGGAAAGCCTGAATGATTTAAAGAGATCGCTCTACCTGCTCTGTAGAGACTGACTTCAGGAAATGAGACTGACAACAGGGAGACCAAATGAAGGGGCTATTACAGTAGTCTGAAAGAGACCGGGGTAATAGCTGTGGCAATGGGCAAAAAGGTAGACCGATTCAAGATGTACTTTGGTAGAGCTGATGGGATTTACTGATGACAGAAGAAAAGGGTGAGAGAGGAAATAACACCTATTTCGTAGCTCTTTTCACTGAAAAGACCTGGAAAAAAAATGACCAACCCAATGAGTACTCATCATCCACATTAGGTCTCGAAATATCATTTCCCACTAAAATGAACCCAGGTTCCTAAGAGAAATGACCAATTCAAAGTTTGTGACAGAAAATGTACAAGGTAAGCCAGGAACATCTTGTCAGACCGCAAAGAATGAAAGCAGAAGCTCTAACAGACAACTGGGAGTTATGTCAAAAGGGTTCAAAGCCAACTTGAAGAGGATGCCGCTGGTCAATGATGAGAGAAGTGATGAGAGCATTGCTAAGAATAATTTTAAAAATTTTTGATAAATTTGACATGTTATAATTTGTAAATTTAAGGTTTATAAAGTGTTACCTTGATACATTTAGAGGCTGTAATATGATTGGCACTGAAGCAATATTGATCACATTTTATCATTACAGTACAGTAGTATTGACTATACTACACTGTGCATTAGATCTCTATAGCTTATTTGCTACTTGTTACAAGTTTGTACTCTTAAACACCATCGGTCAAACCCTCCACCCCCCATTCCCTGATAACCACCATTTTACTCTCTGCCTTTTAATAGGTTTGACTTTATAGGTGCCTGTCTTTAAGAATAACTTTTAATGAATTAAATCATGCCAACTATATTTAAACCCATGAGTTTACAAAGATTAAAGACAAAAAGCTTCATTGGCCATTTTGGGTAGATGCCATTAAACTACTTCATTATTTTGAAAAAAATTTTCTTAAAAAGAAGGGGAAATCAAGCATTTATTCTGCTTTTCCTTTACAAACTATAAAGTAACCAAAGAGATGATGAGAGCAATTTTCTTTCCATAGAAGGTTTCTCGTTAATAAGGGAAGAAGGAATGACAGAATTAGAATAGCACCTCTAATGAATACCGGATCTAGGTTACAATCGTCAGTGATGACTAACATCACAAGAGAAAGAATTCCATGTTCCTCCTGACAAAAGTACACAAACTACAAAATGTCTTGTTGCCCCCAAATCAAAACTGACACGCCTCCAATTTATAGAAAATGTAGGTACAACCACTTTACAGAAAATATAGATGAGACTGGATCACGTTAAATAACAGCACAGGGATGCAAAGAGTAAAACCCAGAATATAGAAAATTCTACAGGACAAACAACCAGCTCTTTAACAAATAAACTGTAAGAAAAAAATAAAGAGAGGGAAATATTAACCAAGACAATGTGTGAATCTTGTTTTTTTCCTGATTTGAGCAAACCAACCATAAAGAACAATTATTAGACAAAGAAATTATTAAATCAGGAAAATCTGAATAATGACTAGATGTATGGCAATATTAAGAAATGATTATTTTCTAAAAGTGTGATAATAGTACTATGGTTATATTTCAAAAAGGGCCTTTTAGACTTTGAAATATTTATGGATAAAATGATATGCTTGGCTTTGCTTTAAGACAATGCAGTAGAGAAGCAGTAAGTGCAGTTATAAATAAGAGTGCCTATTAATTGATGATGATTATAGCTAACGAGAGTACTATAATTAGGACTTCACATCCTTTTATATTTTTATGTATATTTGAAAATTCACACAATAAAGTAAAAAAAGTTCTATAGATCTGTATAAGTTTGAAGGAAACGTTTTCCTCATATGACAATAAGATACTGAATGAAAATTTGTAAAATTTTACTGGAAGTTAAATTTCTTAAAAATTCTCAGTGTATTAAAATGCACATTACCTGGTCACAGCAAACACTTTGTATGACATACTAGAGCTTTCGGGTGGGGCCGGCAATTGATATTTGCAAAAAAGAGTGTCGCATTCCCAGGCGAAGATGGAATTGTCTTTAAAGCAGCTGAGGATGGTATTGTTCAATGGCAGAAAGAAAACCTAAAAGGCGGGAGAAAAAAGCGATTGTTCACAAAGGACCATACAGCCCTCGCTCAATTTAAAATGACCCAAGTAGCCCATTTTCCTTTTTAAAAATTACTTTTTCTTAAACTAGAGAAAAACGCATTTACAATATTTCACAGGGGATGATAATAGTGATATTTCACATAACATTTTAAACTAAAAAGGAAAAGTAAACTTTAAATAAAAAATAGGTTAATAATAATGACTGGGCAATTCATAAAATACTAAGGAACAGTTTAAAAATATTTACCCTTATGAAAGATTTCAATGAAAATAATGAGATACCATTTTATGTGTACCCAATTTACTGAAAATCATACACACATATGTATATACACAAACTATACATATATTAGTATATGTGTTATAACTATATGCTAATATAAAACTATATTAAATACAAACTACTAATAAATGTTAAACATGAAAAGTTGGTACAAGTGTAGGAAAAAGGCACTGTGACATACTGCTGTTGCCAGTAAAAACTGGTCAGAAATATTGTACAATGTATCTCAACAGCCTTAAAGATGTATATCTCTTTCGAACGTCAATCTGCTTCTCAGAGTTAATCCTTCGGGGAAAAAAAAAAATCAGCGAAGTACTTTAAGATAAATGTATATAAATGTTTGTTGAGCGTTATTTATAAAAAAGTAAAAAAGTTCAAAACAAATACATAGTTTATTAGAGATTTAATTTATTTCATGGACAAGGGAGACTGAAATTGATAGCCAAACTGCAAATATCATTCAGTTAGTCTCATTTCTCTTTTCCTATTACATAAACACTAAACAATGCTTGCTTCTGATAATATTAAATATTAACTTAATATTAAATTTTGTTAAAACTGACTAACATCATCTCATAAGAGGTCCAATGGCCTCGAATGTAATTTTGCATTCCATCTGTGTAAAACAGAAAGGGAAGGAAGAAAGGAAGAAAGGAAGGATTAGGAGAAAAGAAAATGGAAGAAATCAATACCCTAAGGACAAACTATCTCTGTCCATCTTCTCAAAATAAATCCGCTCAAACAGCTTGAGACAGTTCACACGGCTGTTGACTCTTGGTTACATCTTTAGCTATTTATTCTTTGAGTCTCATCCAGAACAGCCCTAATTTGATTTGTGGCCTGTCTCCTCCAGGGAAAGGCAAGGCAAAGTCTCAGACATGTGAGCAAAAAAAAAACAAAAAAAACAAAACAACTTATTGTAACACTTTATATTTGAACATATTTGTCATTGTTTCTACTGGTGTGTCTTTACAAGCTTTATTATTTTTTAAAATACATGACTGTTTCCGAGTTGGAAAGAGAGCAGCGGGGACTCACTCGGAGGCAGGGCACCTTCAAGAATTTGTGGCCTCTCATTCTGATCCCTAAGTTGTCATACACTTTCACAATCTTACTAGCTTAAGAAGGAAGCCTGTTTTTTCTTGGAATGCTACATTCTTTAGGGGCAAAGCGTTCAGCGTCTTTAACCCAGTTAGGAGTGTCTGATGAGCATTTAGAATCTGAATGCAACTGTCATCACAGAAACCAGAGAGAGAGCAGGCCAGAATGACTCCAGGGGAAAAGCAGGATCGACGTCTGATCTAGCATGGCCTTTCCCAGTGTTACAAAAGTAACAGGTTCATAAGGCACCTATATGAAACACTTCCACAACCTTGCATCTGATTTGTGTTACTGGCCCGGCCTATTATATACATACAGTTAAGAAATGATTCTAATAGTTAATGATATTACTATAAACATTTCAGGGGGTTGTAAGCCACAATTTTCCTAGCAATAGTTGCAAGCTGTTATCAAAAACTCTGTTTTTCTCATATACATATAGAGCCTCTTTTTACAATAATAGTGCTAAAAAAAATCCCCATAATACACACACACATAATACACTATGAAACACACTAGTTAGTTAAAATTATCTATTCAGAATTAATACTAGTAAGGCAATAAAAAATGCTAGCTCAACTACTACCCTTGCCTAATCTAGCTCCTCACTTTTGTCCTTGGCCCACTTTGCAAAGACGATATCTGGAATATTTTTTGCCAAAAGATTCAGTAAGACATTTATAATATGAAGGTCATATAGAAAGAATTTGCAATGAATATATTATAATTTATAATGAATGCATTGCTTTCATTATAAACCGATGTCAAAAAGTGACTTAAGATTTTTATTATAATTAGCAATATTCTTCTAGAAAAGTAATAAAGTTTATTCCTACTGGGAGAAGCAAAGCTTAAAAGTTGATGAGCATCGACTGCTATTTTAGGGAAAAAGATGTGATATATTATTGCCTACATGATTATTCATTACTAGATTTGTGATTTTAATTGCCAGGTTTTAATGATTATAAAATTGTTCCTAATGAATCATGTCATTATTTAGATAGTGTCATCTCTTGACAAACATAAAGAGCTTACAAAAAAACTTCAAAATCACTAACCAAATGTACCTTTTGGAGGACCGAGTCTAAAGATAGGGCTGTAGTTTTTTCTTATGTGAAAATCCTATGATCTCCAATTCATTTTTGAAAAGTACGTGAGCTTACAGAGACTGAATCAAGTTCCGTAACACACTCTTTGTTAAATGTTTTCTGATATCCATCACAAAACCGTTTCCGATACATACTGAACCACAGTAATCAGAAATCCCAGGATGTATTCCCCAATCCTAACAAAGAGCCAACTAATCTACCTCCAAGCACTAACAAAAGAATCAAAATTTAATAATATGAATAGGTGTAACTGGTTTACCCGAGAGGTAGCACGGTGTAATGGAATGACTAAAGTCAGTCAGGCTGGGATTCAAACTGTACCTCCTTCATAAGCTATGCGACGCTGCGCATGATACTTATTGTTTTTGAACTTCAGTTTCCCCATTTGTTCTATGAAGATAATAGTATCTACCTTTTAGGATCATTTAAGCTTAAAAATAACTCACCGAAGTGTTAGGTACATAGTAAGTACTCAACAACTGGTATCTATTACTATTAATATTAATAACTGCTATCGCTAGGTACAAAAACCAGTGGAAAGATGTTGGAATGGTAAGTTCTTTAAAAACATTTTGCAATCAAAGGTCTATAGTTCTTTATCTGAAGCCTAGTTTGTTCCAGGATTCAGAATTATTTCCAATTTGAGAAAGGTACTATGACGCATATTCTATAACATTATGTGGAACCCTTAGGTGACCTGGAGCGATACCCCATACTCAAACACGTTACTATTTCATCTCATGTCAATTCAGTTCAGGCTTTGCTGCTAAATGAACTGAGGTCAGAACAAGTTAAATGACATAATAGTAAGACAAATCCAGAATGTGGGGCATTTTCCAAGACAAGTGGTCTGGTCTCTCTCTCAAAAAAAAAAAAAAATTGTCATGGGAAAAAAAAATGGAGAAAGACTGTTTTAGATTAAATGAGCCAATATAAAATGAGACCCAGAATGTTATCTGTCACCATGTGTCATCAAGAAAAGAAATCACAAGAGTTCTATTTAAAGTATAGAATCAGAACCTGGGATAAAAATACAGGTTTAGTAAAAACTTGGTAAGAATAAAAGTTTTACTTCAAGATTAGTTGATGACTATCTCCTGTTTTCAACAGAATAAGCCAGAATGGCAGTATCCGGCCCACTTCCAGTTCTTGAACAGCCCAGGAGTTAAGAGTGGTTTTTACATTTTTAAATTATTTCATTTTAGATGGTTATGTAAGTGTACACATAATAGCCTCAATTTTGCTCTTGGCCTGCAAAACCAAAAATATTTACTAGCTGGTTTTTGAGAAAATATTTGCCAGTAACTTACAGACTAAGCTGTTTTATTATTTTAGAACAACATACTTATGTGCACACTGCATACTATACATACATACTATACATACGTTTAATAATTTTATTTATATACATTACATACATACATTTAATTTTATCTTCATATCACTAATATTTGAGTTCTATTTTTTTAAACTAAAATGTCTAAATGTCCAAGCAAGGTTAAAATCGGCAACTATCCAGTGTATAACTAATTTTAATTTCATGGTAAAAAGAACAGATGATTTTTGCGTCATTGTTTCATAATTTGGTTTCCATTGTGGGTTCAACTCCCAGCGCTCTCTTCTTTAGAATTTAAAATTCAATTTAAGTACTAAAGCAATTAAAGGAGAAACAACCTACTAAGACATTTGGCATAAGTCCCTGATGAATAAGCTGGCTATAACTCTTATCTATTTTTAATTATAAAAGGCAAACTAAGTAACTCTGGGATTTCCATAGAGACTACAAAATAAATTTTTGGTTGACATGCACTGCTGGCTGCTCATGTTAATAACCAAGAAATTAAAAGCAATACTGCATGTATTATATAACCTGAAGCAAAATAATTAATCACAATGAGACTCATACAATCCTGAAAATAGTATTTAGCTAATAAAATAGAAAAAAATTAAACCTTAAAAACAAAAGAATGGTTTTTTAAGTGGTTTTTTTCAAGTGTATATTCTATATACAATATAATACTGATCAGTGATAAAAAGACACAAACTATTGATACATACAACATAGATAAATCTAAAAAACATTATGCTGAATGAAAATAGCTTTATACATACCATTATGTGAAATTTTAGAACAAAACTAATCCATGGTGAAAAGCATCACAGTAGTGCTTACCTGGGAAGGGATATGACAAAACTTTCTGGGATGAAGGTAATGATAGGTCTGAACAGTTTACCAACATGTATGTATTTGTCAAAACTTAACAAATGAATACTTAAGATTTATGCATTTCATTATATACAAACTTTACATCAACAAATACTGAACCCTACTCAATGAAATGCAAGCTTAAGTATTTATGGGCAATATGGACAAGTATAATGACATTGGCAATTTACTTAAAAATGAAAAAAAAAAAAAAAGAATTAATGAACAGAGGGGCAGAAAGATGGTTAGATCCATAACAGTATAGTAACATAAAGGAAAGTCTAGTACAGAAACATGTTAATAGCAGAATCAAGATGGTGGATATACAGGTACTCATGGTACAATTCTTACAGATCTGCTGTATGTTTGAAATTTTTCATAACAAAATGTTGGGGGGTTAAAAACTACAATGAAACCAATCAGCTAAATGAAAACTATCAACTTGCTAAAGTTGAAGTTACATATTATAATAATAACTTAAAAAGAAAACCTCAGTAAGTTATAAATTGTAGCCACGGGCAGCATCTTCAGTTCTTTCGGTCACTTTGCTTTGCTCGTTGCTAAGCTATGAGATGAGAACATAGGCACGTGGGACAAAGTGCATCATTATTTACATCATCTATAAATTCTGCCGACCAAGGTAGGAGCCTGAGAAGAAGGGACCAAGATGTCCCCCCTCACTGACCTTTTGTATACCCACAGACTGGAGAATATTCAGTTTCCTCTTTCTCTGAAAGGTATCCAAGTCCCATAGTTGTGCTGTGTCCGAAGAAGTCGTGATGGCATATCTCCCTGACGCATGCACAGAGATCGAAAATATCGATGATTCGTGTCCTCTCATCCAGCTAACTAGCTCCTTGGTGACTGTGGCAAAAAGTAAAATAGTTATATGGGGAAAACACTGTAAATTATCCAAGAATTAATTCAGCTGATGGCTAGGTATTACGGGGCACCCCATTAGTATCTGCACCCACGGAGCCTGCGGCTTGCTAATGAAGTGTGCGTGGGGCACGTTAGTAACCCAGGCATCACGGAGGTGTGAGGAACGGCCTTCGGGGTGGCACTAGGGAGCCCGAGCTTTCTCTTCCGAGGACAGTTTCCCGTTGGACAGTACCACATCCGGTCCGTGCTACAGGAAGAGCATTTTGAAGGTATATGGTGGGTATACTGGAAAGGGGGACGAGATTAGACAAGATGACTAATTGACGTTGCCGTAATAATCCAGGAAGGAGATGCAGAGGGTCTAAGCTAAGACTGTGACAATGGAGAGAGGAACAATTTCAAGAGCTACGGAGGAGAACTCAGTGATCAGATGGATGTGCTGACATGAAAGAGGAGATAAGGCTCCAGCGGTTTAGTTTAGTTGTGTAAATAGATCGTGATACTATTAACTGATGTAAGAAACACAGAAGCAGGAACAGACTTAGCAGTGTGGAAAGAAGAGAGAATGAATTTGATTTTTAAAACTGATTCTGAGGAGCACAGATGTGCGTGCATATGTGTGTGTGTCTGTGTGTGTGTCTGTGTGTGTGTGTGTGTGTGTAACATCCAGGTAGAGAAAACAGTCTGGCAGGAAAAATACCAAAAACTATTCAAGATAAACATCACTGGGTATAAAATTATAAGTGATTTTTATTTTCTCTTTACATTTCTGTGTTTCCAAGTTTTAATTTTCCGATCAGAATTTTTTCCTCCAGAAAGATAGAACTGAGGAAAATAGTCAGAAAGCAAGAAGTAAATCTGAGAAACATTGAGACGCAAAGTAGGTTGAAACAAGAGACACAGGAACAGATGAACCTTGGGGGGTGCGGGGAGAGGGGCAGTGGTTTCCCAGCACCAGTCTTGAGTCTGGCCTCAGTTAATGATCAATTTTTCACTGGTCTTCAGTGAAATGAGAAAAATAGAAATAACGTAATGAGTTTTTCATGAAGTTAAATTTAAAGCACGACTTTTTAATCTAGTATTATATTCTCCAAAGTTTCTTTATGTTAAAAAGTCCTTAGTTTTATGAAATGAAGTTATATTGGTTTTTCCAATGTCAATTAGCAAAATTAAAAGTTGATGACCTATGTGAGTTTTTCTACTTTTTTTTTTTTATGGGGTCAAAAATCCAAAACTCCAGGAACCACTCAAGGAAGCCAGGAGAGAGAAGGCTAAGCAGCCGTCAGGAAGGGGAGAGGAGAACCGAGAGAGAGAACAGGAAAACTAAGGCTCTCAAAGTAATCCAAAGTGTTAAATGCTGCTGAGAAGTAGGATGAGAGTAGAGAGAGGATTTAAACAATCAGACGTTGCTCACGACCATGGTGACAGAAGCCTCAGGAGCATGACGTGTGGGAGCAGGAGTAAGAATCCAGAGACAGAGGCTGTGAAGAAGCAGGACTTGGCAGTGAAGAGGGAGGCAGCAGGGGAGGCAGGGGCAGTGCCTAAGGAAGGGGCTTTACTGGGGAGGATTCGAGAGACAGAAGAGACTATAAAAAGATGGAACTCAGAAGAGAAGAAGAGTGAGTGGAATCCAAGGAAAGCAATCACAGATGAGCGCAGAACTTCTCCGACAGCAGTGTTTGAAAAACCAAAACTGGAAATGGTGAAATGATTATGCAAACACCTATAGAGTCGAATATTAGGTGCTGATTTTAAATATACTCTATGAATTTTTAATGAGGTAAGAAATGACTGCACGAAACAATATAGACAGGATGATCGTGCATTTGTTAGAATATGAAAAAGGTAAAAGGTACACGCAGAGAAAACAGAGTGGAAAGGCAGGTGCCTGGACGGAAACGCTGCCGGCCTCGGGGCACCGCTGAGGAAGGGCTGCTTTGTCTCTTGCACACGCAGTGCCAGTGAAGTAGAGATTAGGGGCAGGTACCCTGCTGCTAGTCTACCGGTTAGGAATCCTGGCTCCATCACTTATGAGCTGTGGGATCTTGGTCAACTTACTTCTGTGACTCAGTTTCCTCATCTGCAAAATGGGGATAATAATGGTATCCACCTCCGTGGGTTATTCTGATACTTAAAATTAATTAATGTGTATAAAGTCATAGAACAGTCTCTGGCGAAGAGTAAACTCTCTATGTGTTAGCTATCACTATTACTATTGTTGTTGTTATTGTTTATATAGCTTTCTAAATATTACAAATATTTCTAAATAACAAGAAAAAACAATGCAGTTGAGATAGCTTTTTTCTAAAGAAGAGGTTCAGTTTATGGAACTCTAAGTCCTCTGTAGGAACTTCCCCAGTGATAGGAGGATCTTTTTCAGTCACGGGGGGTGGGGGTGGGCCCTCGGGTGACAGCAGGTGGTTTATGCTGAGGAGGGAACCGCAGAGTGGGGGCTGGCCAAACCGGAAAGGCTGACCATGATATCAGCGGACCCCCCGAGAGAGGAGCAGAGCTGGAAACTGAGTCTGACCAGGGGGCAATCATCCAATCAATGAGCCTAGGAAAAGCTCTGGCCATCAAAGCTGGGGTGCCTTTTTGGTTTGGTGACACTCAGCTGGATGGCCACACGTCGATGCTGGGAGGGTAAAGTGGCCCTGAGGACAACGGGAGCCTCCACATTCCGCCCTAGGCGCCTCTCCCGTTGGCTGGCTCTAATCCTTTCGCCACATTAGAACTGTATTTGTACGCACAGTGCTTTCCTGAGTTCTGTGAATCATTCCAGTGAATTACGAAACCCAAGAGCAGTTGTGGGGAGCCCTGAACTTGCGGCCAGCTGACCTGACGTGAGGGTCACCCTGAACTTCCAGCTAGTGCCTCAAGTGAGGGGCGTCTTGTGGGGACCACTCCCTCCGACTGTACAGATTGACAGACTCCTCATGTACTTCAGTCTTCAAAAGATAAATAGGAGGACTTCTTACCTGCATCGAAACACTTAACAGAATAATCAGCTAATGCCACAAGGAATTCAGACTTCCTACGGAGAGCGAAGGCCAGCGCTGTGCAGGCTTGTGCTGTTCGCTGAACAAGAGTAAACCTATTGAGAGATTACTGCATTAGTCTTAGAAATTCTTCCGATGACCACGAAGTGTCTGTTGGAGGAGTCCTTAGAGAGGAAGCACATGAAACCCAGAAAAACGAGCTCCCATTCCAATAGGCCGAAAACAGATCGCGAAGAGTGCTACATGCCCTGGAAAGGAGTTTGGCTTTTACTTACACAGAATGGGAAGCCGACAGAATTACAATCAGCCATGTCTTTTAGGAAGATATTTCTGGCAGCAATGAAAAATGGACAGAAGGACAAGGAAGAAGAGATCATTAAGAAAGCTACTACAGAGAACCTCAACCGGAGTTATGGGTATAAAATGGTAGAGGTGTCAGAAGTGGACAGAGGCTTAGTGATGCATCCAGCAGGAGGTGAAGAGGGAGAAATCAGGAATTCCTCACGTGTAAAATGAAGATGAGAAAAGACATTTCACAAGGTTGTTGTAATGATTAAATATACAATGATTAAATGAAATCATACATGTTAAATGCTTATCAGAGTACTTGGTACACAGCAAGAGTTCAATGTATAAAAAAATTAAGTTTTCAAGCTTGGGCAAAAGAGGAACAGTTTGGAAGTAGGAAATAAGTCTGATTTTAAGCATGTTGGGTTAAAGGCCCTTGCAAAACATTTAGAGCTGTGCTGTCCAAAAGAAACATAACACAGGCCACACATATAATTTAATTTTTCTCGGAGCCACATTTAAAAAGTAAAAAGAAACAGGTCAAATTAATCTCAATAACATATTTTACTTAATTCAATATGTATCTAAACTATCATTTTGACATTTCATAAAAAAAAATTAACGAGATATTTTCATTTCTTTTTTTCATACTAAGTTTTCAAAATCCAGTGCATATTTTCACAAACAACACATCTGACTGCGGACTAGCCACCTTCCAAGGGCTCAAGAGCCACATGCAGACTGTGGCTACCGCACAGGAAGGCCAACCTAGGAGCGATCTGAGTTAACGGTACTCACAGGGCAGCTGAATGAGGCCTGAGGCTTGGCGGTGAGATGATCGAACAGAATACCTGGAACATGGAGGAGGCAGGCCAAGGACAGACCCCAGAGGAGCGCACAAGAAAGGGGCGGGCGCCGGAAGAAGAGTCAGCCAAACAAGGGGAAAATAATCAGAGAAGTAGAAAAATCAGAATAAGGTTGCACCTTGAAGCAAAAGAAAAAAATGTGGGGGAGGAAGACAAGAATATTTAATAAAACGAGAATTGAAGAGATGATCGGATTAGGCAAAGAGGAGGAAGCCCAGTGGACTGGTTTTCCAATCAGACGGTCCTGATTTCAAGTCTCAGCTCTGCCACTTACTGCTCTGCTCAGCTGTAAACATTTATAGGGAGGAAAGGGACGGTGGACAAAATGAAAGAGAGGAACTCTCATGGCACAGAGTCCCAGGGTGGCTACGGAAGACGGACATTGGCAAGGGAAGAAATTGGGATCATCTATTTTTATGATAAAGTGGCAAAGAGGTAGGGACGGTTAACTTACAGGGATATCTGAGGTTGCGGTTGGGGAAGGAAAGCGTGCAGGTGTCAGTTTTCTCATGAGTTAGGAGGCCGAGGCCGTCAGAATAAGAGCAGAGTTGAACACTAGGAGACAAGGAAATTGGTAAAGATTTGGAATACTCGGAGGAGAATGGGAGAAGTAAATAACGACAGAGAAGTAAATGAAGTGCTAAGTATCACTGGTGTTGAAGTTCATTATTCTGTACTGGAGTCAATCAACAACTATTTTTATTTCATTTAGCAGTGGGAGCAAAGAAGAGACAGTTGATTTAAGACTGGGAATTGGCAGAGTAGGTCAGGCAAGAGTAAAGAGCAGAAACATAATTAATAGATTTCTACCCCGTAAACCACAGATAAATAAATCACATATGACCTCTTCTTTTTGTGAACGTTTTGCGAATAAGTTAGTGAGATCATGTTCTCTACAAACAAGGAAATTCTCCGTTATAGTCACAATACAACCATAAAATCAGAAGAGTACATTTATATATTACAACCATCTAAAGCTCAGACCCCATTCAATTTTGCCAACTGTCTCAATGATGTCCTTTACAACAAAAGGATCAGTCGAGAATCAAGCTTTCATCTGTCGTGTGTCTAGCCTCGCCCAGTCTGGGATAGTTCTTCAGTCTTTCCCCAAGTTTCATGACCTTCACCCTTGTGAAGATTACAGGCCAGTCTTGTTAGACAATGCCCTTAAATTAGCTTTGTCTGATGATTCCACTGATTAGATTCAGGCAACATGTCCTTGGCAGAAATATTGCAGAAGTGACACTTGTGCTTTTCACCGCACACTATCAAGTAGCACACAAGTTCTGACTGTTCCACTGCTGGTTAATTTCACGTTAGTCATTTGATAAGGTGGTATTTGCCAGGCTTCTTCACCATAAAATTATTTTTTCCCTCTCTGTAATTAATATGTTACTTTGCGACTGGAATGCAAATATTCACTCTCGTTAAACTATTTGATTGCAGCATGAATGCCTAGGTTTCTATTTTATTCTATGGGTTGTGATCCGTTATTATCATCATTTATTTTGATCCTCAAACCGTCTCTAATGTGGCCAGAGGGCGCTCCTTCAAGCTGACATTTATGTCCTTGTGAAACATCCCACCATTCTTTGAACGATTCCTTCTTTTTGGCTACAGAAAGTTCCAGGCTCATCTGTCCTCTCCCTGTCTCCATCCTGAAAGTAGCCGTTTTTACAAGAATCCCTGATTCCTTCTAGCAGACAGTGGTATTTAGAAGAGAACTGGGCACTGTGTGTATTCACTGCTTGATTCTCAGCGGATCCTTTTGTTGTGAAGAACATCATTGAGACAACTGGCAAAACTGAATGGGGTCTGAGCATTAGGTGGCTGTAACATTCCCTGGGGTATTGCTGCTCTCAGGTCCTATGCGCGGACAGAGCTAGGAGTATGTGAGCAAGTAGTTCGCTCAATCTCTTATACGCACGCCTCCACTTACTCCTAGGAGTTCACAGATAACCGATTTCAATCCAGTACCGTGGGGTTCATTCTAGCTTTCTCTCTTTCCACGTTTTGTAACTCCCCTTTCCCACGGTTAGAACTTGGCCCCCATTATCCTCAGTATATTTACTCATTTGATCAAAGCCGCCATCTTTCCCATGATGGCCTCATCCTGCACAGACACCTTCTGACCCTCTACTAGTCTCCCTCCTACCTAGCCCCACGGCACGGCTGCCTACCTTAATCAGTCCCACCTAATTGCTTTTGTACTAAATTGTTCAGCAAAGGAAGATTAGAAGAGTGAGGATCAATTCTTTAAGATTCCTAGATTTTGTATACTGTGACAGAAACCTACAAGGAAATTGTGTTCTTTCTAAATTGCCTAATGAAGTACCAGATAGTAACTGAAAATTTAACAATAACTTTTTAAATTTAGGAAAAACAAGCTACTAGAGATACTGTTAAAACCAGAACTTTAATTCTCTAAAAAAAAACCTAACCATATTATCTTTTTATCTTTTTCCATTTTCTTCCAAAACACTTCTATCAGACAATGTTTTACAAGGGTACCTGAAACATAGTGAGAACTTAATAAATTTTTCTGATGAATAATAGCAGATACTATACAGTCAGTGAATTAATAACATCGAATAAGGTAAATATCAAAAGTAGCACTCACCTGTTTCCAGACAAGTCAAAAACATAGATATTTCCTTGATGGTCCCCAGCAAGTAAGCAGTCACCTGAGCTATCAAAAGCCACATTCAAAAATCGCAGAATTTTAGGAAGGTAATCAGAAGTGGTGTGAATAATGTTCACTATAATTCTGTAAGAAAGAAAAAGCCAAACGCACATTAAATTCTATGGCAGGCATTACTTGTTAGTATGAAAAATATGGCTTTATAAGTATACTTCACTAACTCTGAAGGTTTTGTCTACCCATTCTTCCCTCTCCTGCTGCTGCTGCTTCTCCTCTCTCCTAGAAGCAATCCCACAATGATGTCTGAAAATGCTTCAGAAAGTCGTTCATTATCAAAGAGCTACTGTTCATTTATTTGTGAAATACCTGAAAACTCACAACATGTCAGGCACTGAACTAAGAGGAATTGACAGATGTGGGTGCTGCCCTAGTGGAGCTTTCAGTTTAGTGGTAAAGACAGACATTAAAAAAACATACACACACACGAACAGATTTATAAATTGTGATTACGTAATAGATGACAAGATATGATAGAAGAATGTATTTCGGATTGAGTAAACTGTTACATTAAACAATAGACACATGCTGAAAACGATGATGTAATTAGGGAAAAGTACTGAGTTTTACATAAGTCACAAGCTACCACATGTAAGGAAAATTTCAATCCAATATCCTAATTTTAAGATATCCTAATGAGATTTTGTTTTTGTGAATCAGAGTTCCAAAGCAAAAGTGTACACGAGTTTTATTTTCAGCTGTATTTGTCTAAAGTTAATACTTTTTTTTAAGATCTTGTACCATATATCTGCTGAAAAGAAAGCTGTTATAAAACTTGCAGCACAAAAAAAAAACCCTTAAAATAATATATGTGTGTATATTTGGGTCATGAAGACCAGAATAACCCATTTGTTATTGCAACAGTTTTCAAATTGTGAAAATTTTTATCTTAATTGACTTTTTGTGAATTTTCAAATTTTAATATTAGAAACATCTATCTTCCTCATGATCACTTCATTAAAAAATACTAAATTGAATTAAGCGTATTAAACATTTTCTTCAGTTTATCTAAACAAGGCTTTTAAGACCCATTGGGTGAAACGGCAAAATTATTATAGTGCTCATTTTTATCTAGTCCCTGACAAAGATTCTTTGCTTGACCAAACTTTGCTCAGGCTCCTAGACCTTCTCGTAGGCCCCGCTTGTGCATTTCCTTATAAAAATCTAACTTTAGCAAGAACCCTGCTCAGTTTAAAGAGAATCCCCTTCCCTAAATACCTGACCATCCTTGACATGTGATCACGTGGCACATCCTCCATCTCCCAGGTGACGTCTTATCACCCTGGCCTGTCTTTGGCAAGAGTCCTGTTAGGCTGGTACGGCCAGAGAGGTCTCCTACCCTAGACACCCTCTAAATAACTTTCCACCTGCAGCTATAAGCCCCCACTTGCCCAGGCCATATTCAGAATTAAGCCCAGTTCTATATTGAGGTCTCTTTTCCTCTATTGCAGTAGTCTGAATAAAATCTGTTTTTACCACGTTAACCACTGTCCAGCTCTGGTTTTTCTCTGACATTGCCAAAGGTAAGAGGGAAGAAATAAATGCACTGAAATGACAATAACATCAAAATGTGCCCTGGTGATTAAACTCAGACAGAGCAACTGACTTTCCCACTAGTCTTTTTTTTTTTTTTGGTAACATCGATTATGTTTGGATTACAAAATTACATGATCATTGTTGAAAATAATAAAAAATACAAAAAAACACTGATATATAAAGAAAATTGATTATAACCCTACTATCTACACATAATCACAATTAATAGCAACATTCTGCTTTTCTGATTTTTTCAAATAAATCACATATTTATTTTAGAATTGCCTTTCAATTGCTCACAGGTTGCTTGACAGAGTTCCTCAGTCCTTAAACATAATAAAAACATCAACTACTTACTGAACACCACCATGCATGAGATACTATTTTAAAGTGTTCATTACGCCCTGCAATGACCTTCTCTGGTAGGTGCGATTATCTTCACTTACCCCCTTAGGGATGAATTTGCTCAAGGTCACAGAGCTAGTAAATAGAAATTTTCTTCAACTGAAGTCCATCTGACTCCACAGTCAGTGCTCCTTGCTCTCTCAACACCATGATGACGGGTTTTAACCAACAAAAAGTTATGTTTTAATGAAAGAAGCAAATAAGGACATGTGCACATGAACTTGTTTCTTTCAATTTTGTAATCTTGCAGGTATATCTAGATATTTATAACAGTAAGAAAGAATTATCGCGGGTTGGCAAAAATGTTTTGAATATTTACAGAACATCAGAAGTAGGGTAGAATTTACATAAACTCCAAATTTGAAAAGAAAAATTCCTACTGAAGCATCCCAAGTCTAGACAGAAAAAATTTATTCAGTGGAGCTGATGGGACAGCAGCACTGTTAGGGGACTGATGGCAGCTGCCAGTACAGTGGCGAGCACCCTGCTTTGGGCGTGTGTAGGACCCCTGGCACTTGATTTGTTGAGGAGCAAACCAAAGATCAACAACAACAAAATTTCGAGAACAAGAAATACATTGAAACATGAAGTCAAGTTTCATGCAACATGCAACAAAGTATATGAAATCCGAGGGAGTTAGAAGCAATAAGATCAATGTATGTGTAGCAATTGGAACCAAGACGGTTCCACTTTGGGGCAAAGGCTTCCATTAAAGTCGCACAGGAGAGGCTGAGCCTCAAAAAGGACAGATATCTGGGAACAGAATGAAAAAAAAAAAGGAGTTTCAGGACAGTGAAAATACTTTGTATGACACTATAACGGTGGATACATTATTACGCATTTGTCCAAACTCATTGAACGTTCAACTCCAAGAGTGAATCCTAATGTATACTGTGGACTTTGGGTGATAATAATGCGTGGATGTAGGTTAAGAAGAGGCAACAAATGCACCGTTCTGGTGGTGGTGGAGGTGATGATAATGTGCCAACGATGCGTGTGTGGGAGCAGGGAGTATATGGGAAATCTTTGTATATCTGTACACTTAGCTCAATTTTTCTGTAAACCTAAACCGTCCTTTAAAAAAGTCTATTAAGAATAAGCAGCAGCAATGCTGGCCTAACTAGGCCACCTTGCATTCTAGAACGTAAATCCTACCTGCTCTGCCCCATACACGCTAATATATAAACTCCAGAGAACCAGAAGTTTGTTTTGTTCCACTACTGTCCCCCAGCGCTCAGAAGCGTGGCACATCCTAGGCCCCGAACAAATAGTTGATGAATGCATATATTTAGGGATGGATAAACTGCAGCACTTGGACGGGGTGGAAATGTACTGTTCTCCTTTCCCCTCATCTGTTCCTCTTTTCCAGCTGCAATAGTTAACCAGTATTTACTGAGCATCTACTACGTGCCAGGAATACTATAGGGATGCATGAAAATTAAGGGGCAGAGTCCTGGAACGCACCAGAAGCGCAAATTCTTCTATTTCTGAGGACTACCTGCCTCTTGCTCCACGCTGATCCTGGCAGACCGAGAAGGGGTCTCCGAGGATCGTGGCGTCGGGGCACATCGACACTCAGGCTACCTGCGTTTCCTGAGGTCACCGAACCCAAGGAACCGGGGTAGGTCAGAACCAGAACCCGAACCTCCACCCGGCCCCCTGCGCCCCTTTCTGCGATGCTCTCCAACAGTCCCTCAAATGCCAGTCCAAAGACGCAGACCCGCCCCTCGCCAGCTCCACCCATCCTCTCCAGCCCGCGCCCGCCCGCCGCGGCCTTTACCCGTCCCGAGTGGCCGGGGATGGCTTGCGGTGCCATATCTTGCCGCTCTCCTTGTTGCCCAAGTCTGTGCTCTGCATGGCGAAGCCCACTGCGTCCGCCACGGGCCTGATGACAACCGTCTCGGACACTTCCCAGCAGGCCCCACGCTCCTGGCCCGGGAAATTTGAGCGCGGACGGTGGCGGCTAGGGTCCCCAACCGACCGTACCAACCGTGCGCCCCCTATTAACAACCAATCGGAAGGTGGTTTCCTCCGCCCGGGCAACCCCTCCCGCTTTGGACAATGGAATCGGCCAACGACCTCTTAGACTCCGCCCCTTTTCGAAGTCCGTCCCTGCCCCTCTGGGGCCCAAAGCCTTCTGGGAATCGTAGTTTTCTGGAGGTGGACCGTGAGTGCGAGAAATAGCCTTGGGTTTTCTGCTTTCTTGGGGCCTCCCAGGGTTTTAGGCCCCCAAGGGAGGCAGTACAAGTAGTTTTCTCCTGTGGTCCGTGCATTTTGTTTTGCATTGCGTTTAGGGATCAAGGGGCTGCAGAGACAACTAATAGAGAAGCAAGGGCTTAAATACATTGAGAATTGAAGAATTCCTAGTATAGAACATCGGGGGTCGAAAGCAGCACGAAGACTTTTTCAACATCGTTGTGATTCGGTAATCTAACAAGAGGCTCCAGTATTATGTTGTCCAGTACATCAGTCACGGCCAGAAAAGCAATGCCATCAACAACCAGTTGCGTTGATGTCAGAGAGGCCGTTTGTTCTTTTGGTAAAAATTTACTTAACACTTCCATAGTGCTTACCAGGCATCAAGCACGCTATTAAGTGCTTTTGAAAATATTGATTCATTTAATCCTCATAGCAAACCTACGATGCTGGAAGTACTACGATTCCCATTTTTAGAGTTCTAGGAGGTAGTGGATTGATTTCCTGAGGATGATGTAATGAGTTGCCGGAAACTTGGTGGCTAAGACAGCAGAAACTCTCTCACAGCCATGAAGGCCAGAGTCTGAAATCAAGGAAGGTCCCTCCCTCCAGAGGCTCTAGGAGAGGTTCCATTCCTTGCCTCTTCCAGCTTCTGGTGGTTGCCGGCTGCCTTAACTTGTGACCACATCACACTGATCTCTGCCTCCATCTTCTTATTGTCTTCTTTTCCTCTTCTATCTTAAATATTCCTTTGCTTTTCTGTCACTGAATTTAGGACCCACCTGGATAATAGAGAATGATCTCATTTCAAGATCCCTGACTTAATTATATCCTCAAAGACCCCTTTTCCAAAGAAAGTAACATTCATAGGTTCCGGAGTTTAGGATGTGAATATACACATTTTGGGAGCCCACCATCAACCCACTTCAGGCAGGTACTTCTATTATCCCTATTTTGCAGACAAGGAAATATTATGTTAGTAGGACAGCCAGGATTCAATCTTTAGTCTTTGCATTCCTGGTCCCCGTGTTTTTCTACAATAGAAAATGATCTTAAACAAAATTACATGGCTATGATATTTGAAGAGCTTAAACTTTATTAGAAAAGCAAAACTCTCATAAAAATTTACCTATGCAGATTTTATAACTTTTTATATTTGTTACCAATGGGTGGCTCTAAGAGACCAGACCACTTTTAATAACCTATTGCAGAAGAGACAACCACATTCCTTATTTTTATTAATCAGATTCGAGATGGTAATAAACTGTGTATGAATGTTTGCATTATTATTTAGGAAATTTAGGTCGTTGATATCATTGGTGCCTAACTTGAGACATAAGTTATTTCCCACTTTTTCTTTTTTATCCCACACAGGAACGAACCATTTTTATCAGCAGTAGAGAGTGATCTGCTCAACGATTTCCTTGACTGCTGTGGTTTAACCTACCTGCAGCTGGGCTTATATGGGCTGTCACAGCCCCTGGGACCATCCTGTTCAATTTCATATGTAAGATAAGGAGGTTTCCATATTAAAGATCTTCTGGACTCCTACTTTGCACTTCTCTTTGGATTTAGTTGGGCCAAATATGAAGGTCAGGCTGCAAACTGAAGAGACATACACCTGTGGCTGCCAAACTTCTACTCCTTCTAATCTTTCAATTTTTATAACCCACGCTGGTGGACCGTTTGCTAGTTCCTTCTCGAATCATTACTCAGTCAATAACTGATGTGTCTTGTACATATTATTTTTCAGTTTTATTGAGGTGTACTTGACACTCAATAAACTGCATATATTTAAAGTGTATTATAATTTTATGAGTTTTGGCATATACTCCCGTGAAACCATCACCATAATCAAGAAAATGAACATATCCATCATCTCCAAAATTTCTTCCTGTATCTTTACAGTCTCTTTTTATTCCCACCCCATCTTGTCCACAGGCAACCACTGATCTGCTTTCTGTCTCTTAGATTAGTTAATATTTTCTAGAAATTTATGTAAATGGGGCCTGAACTATGACATACTCTTCAGTTTGGTCTGGTTTCTTTCATTTGGCATAATCATTTCGAGAGTCAGCTATGTTAATGGACATATCAGTATTTCACATGTTTTTATTGCTGAGTAGCAGTCCATCATATTGATAATCCCATGGTATTGACGTAGTACAATTAACTTATCTATTCATCTGTTGATGACCATTTGGATTGTTTCCAGTTTCTGGTTATTACAAAAAAAAAAAAAAAGCTGTTGTGAGCATTCCTGTTCAAGTCTTTGTATGAACATATGTTTTCATTTTTCTTGGGTAAATTCTTAGAAGTGGAACAGCTGGGCCATATGGTAGGCATAGGTTAAACTTTTTAAGAAATTGTCACATGTTTTCGGTTGTGCCATTTTACATCCCCACTAACGGAGTAAGAGAGTTCCAGGTACTCTGCATCTATGACCAGCCTTTGCAATTATAGTCATTCTAGGAGTGTTGTGGTATCTCACGGAGACTTTAATTTCCATTTCTGGAATGACAAATGATGTTCAGCATCCTCTCCTGTGATTATTTGCCTTCTGTATATATCCTTGGTGAAGTGTCTGCTCTAATCTTTTGCCCAATTATTAACTGGGCTGTTTGTTTTATTATTGAGTTTTGGGAGTTCTTTATATATATTCTGAATACAAGCCCCTTATCATATATACTCTTTGCAAATATTTTCTCCCAGCCTGTGGTTTGATTTTCATTCTCTTAACAGTGTCTTTCAGTGAGGATAAGATATGACTGTTGATGAAGACCAACCTATCAATATTTTCTATTATGGATTGTGCTTCGGGTGTCATATCTAAGGAATCTTTACCTAACCCAAGGTCACAAAGATTTTCTCCTTTGTTTTCTTCTTTGTATGTGTTTCAAATATATTCTCAGAGGAATGGGAAGTTGTGTGTGTCCAAGGGATTTTGGTTTTTGCTTTTCAAAGTCCTTTCTCCTCGTCCCCTTGCCTGCTCCACTTTCACCAAGGAAGCTTGCCTTCCTTCTGCTGTGACAGTATGTACTCTGGAGAAAGAGCAGTTCTGCTTTGTCTACTTTTCCGGAGGGAATTTAGTGGGCCTTTGGATTGCCCAACATCTGAACTCCCTTTCTGTCTGGGAAAAATCCCAGGACATTTGGAAGGCAAAGAAGGGCAGCTGTTTTCTTTCTCAATTCCTTGGCAACCAGATCAATAATGCCTCCTGCCCTCCGAACCCAGGCCAGTCAAGGGATCAGCAAGCAAATTGAATTAGTGCAAAACCCAAAAACAACTGAAAATACAATTCAAATATTTACTGCAATGTCCCAAAGAGCACTAAGTAGAAAGCAATTAATAATCTTGAGCAAACTTCCTAAAATACCCTTTCCCACATCATTCAGTAAGGTTAAATGAAGTTATGCCACAATAACTAACGCCTCAGTGGCTTTAGACAAATCTCAGTGGCTTAAGACAACTCCTTATGGCTGGGCGTTCAGCTCATTTTAGTCTCTAGGTACCCAGACTGATGAAGTAGCCACCATTTCAAAAATTTTGGGTTACCATGTCAGGGGGAAAGAGAGTTCTAGAGAATTTCACACTGACAGTTAAATGCTTCAGCCCAGAAATGTCACTATTACTTTTACTCCCAACTCACTACCAGAACTATGGCACCATCCAAACGCAAGGGGCTAGGCAGCGCAATCCTACTAAAGTTGTTATCTATAGCGGCAATAATGCTGTGAAAAAGCAACCACCAAACCTCTGTGGCATTCCAAAATAAGTATTTATTGCGCAGGCAAATGTGATCAGCCAGGAAGCTCTGCTGATCTTTGCTGGCTGAGCTGACTCATGTGTCTGGGTGTCAGCTGGCCATCAATTTATAGACTGGTCTCATCAGAGCAACTGGGGCGAGTCAACCATGTTTCAAGTATCTCTCATCCTCCTGCAGACTAAGCAAGGCATGTTCTTGTGGAAAGAACAGTGGTGCAAGTGAGCAAGCAGGCATGCAATGCCCCTGGGCTTGAAGCTGGCACACTATCACTATCGGACAAAGCAAATTACATAGCTGATCCCAGGGGCAGAGGATTATACTCTGTTCACAGTGGGAGAGCATTGAAAACTTCCATGGAAGGCATGAATCCAGGGATGAGTGGAGAATGGGGACCGGTTATGCAATTTACAATATCTAAAGTGTGTTTGGAAGGGGAGAAAACCTAAAATATTTGGTGAACAGCAAAATATTCAGTGACATTTGATCTCACCCTGGAGGATGAATTGAAGGCTTTCTACACATAAGAAAGAATGAGTTTTGGAGGCAGTTCGCTACTGCAGCATCAAATGGCCGATGCTCACAAACAAAGTAATTGTACTCCCATTTTACAAATGAGGAAACTAAGGGTGGGCGTGATTATTTCGCTTGTCTATGGTCATACAGCTATCAAGCTAAGATTCAAATGTAGAACTATATGGCTCCATTATCTCGCTCCGCCTTTCCTATGCTTCTTCTCTGCTTTTCACGCACCAGAATCATGTGGTTCTGTAATTCTTCCTAAAGACCCTTTGCCTGAACCAGAAAACAATTTATCACTAGCCTGGGTTAAAAGTTTCTGGGAACCTTTATAACAAGATCCTGTTTCATCCCCTTGGAAGAAGAGTTTATTTGCACATTTGTAGGAGTGCTGGTAAACAAAGATGTTGAGAAGACTTAAAAAAAAATAAAGCACAGAGAAAGTGGGGGCGGGGGAGGGTACGGTAAGACTGTACACATGGATGGATAGATTTGCCTGCCCAGCAAGCCCTCTGACACTCGTCCCACCCCCACTCT